AGTTACCAAGATAAAGACCTTGGTTCTTTCAAGTGTTTGGTATAACCGGAAGACAGCACTATGCTAGGTAATACTGATCAAATGCTAAGGAAGTTCACCTAGAAGGCCACTTTCAAAGCTCACAAAACCAATGGGGAGGCAATGCTGTTCCCCCATTTTACTGACGGAGGCACAGGGGACCGTGTAGGATAATTGCAATGATCCAGCCAAGAGACCTTAGAAAATCCCACGTGAAAGTCAGGGAAATCTTCCAAGATAGATGAGATTGCACGGGGGCTTTCTTGATGATTAGGAAACCACTAGTCAGCAGGAGAAAGGCATTCCTGTTAGGAAGAACCATTTGCGCAAAGACTTGGGCATGGAAAAGCATGAGTTCTCAAAGGAATGGCACAATGATGGGAGCCTGCCCAAGGGAACACTGTCAGAGCCATGTTGAAAGGGCCCAAGCGCACCCTCAGCCCCAAGGATGGCAGGAACCATGGCCCTGATCCTCCCCACGCTAGCAGACAGACGGTGCTTCCCGAAGGCCTGGAAAACCAACGTGAGCCTTCCAAGCAGGGCCAACACCCACGGCTACGTTTAAATGCCATCAAAACGACAATAGCCACCCTGCCAACGTCATCGACAATGTGCGTTCATTATGACAATTTCCTGGAAAGGACAGTAAAATATTTTGTTCAAATAAAATCTGCCTTTTATAACAACTGTCTGAAAAACGCAAGAGTCTTGGGGAAGGGCTTCTTTTCCTGACTCACGCAATTGGCCCTCTGTGCTAGGACGGTAGGCTTGCTCTTACTGCTTTTTCCTCTCCAACTGCAGTGAAAGCTACATTGCAACCACTCACCATGATTTCATTTCACCTTTTCAGGCCCAAACGTATATTAAACCTGCTTCAAACAATTAACACTTTCTTGCTCCTCCCACCCCAGGTGATTTCAACTTCCCTCTCTAACCCATCTCCCTCCTTAATCCCAGTCTCCCAGCACTGCCTTAGCCATCATGCATCACTTTTCCTAGGGAACCTCATTTCCCCAAAATTCAGACTTCTGGGGCTGTCCATTCCAGCAACAAGGTGCGTCCTGATCCAAAAAGATAGGGTTCCAACCAGAAACTGCTTGTGGAGGCCTCCCCAGTCTGCGGGATCTGCCTGGAACTCCTCCAGAAGCCTCCTGAACATCGACTCTTAAACTGTTAAGTTATACATTGCTCACATGGAAATATAAATCATTCTGAATGATAGTTGGCTCCTGCTCCTTCACAAGTCAGCCTGAGGGTCAATTCAGACTCCAGTTACCTGCCACCATCGCCAGCACCCTATTTAGCTACCGCTAAAGCAATGCATGATTTCACTCTCAAAAATCATTCCAAATAAACTATTATATTATTTTTTTTAAAAAAAAAGCATTCCAACTCCATGTCTCCATATGAGAAATTTCATACAAAATGTAGAACAGCGTTGTGCAGCAAGGATACACATTATTTCACAATGGCTGCCTCGGGGAGGGAAGACTTGCCCCATGGCATGGGGCCGGAGCAGAAGGGCGCTGCTGTCTGTCACACTGTTTCTGTTTTAACAACCTCTGAAACCGGGATGGGAAGATGCTCTGGTGTGCGCAGGGAGGTGGGGCAGAGACAAGAGTGGTTCTGTTACTCTGCTTTGGGAACGTTTGACGTTTTCCACTTTATGGAAATATTTCCAAACTATTTTAAAATTTGAAAAAGGACGTTTTTAGGCACTTTGACCAAAGACCATATTCTAAAATCATTCATCAGAGAAGCTCCAAGGAACCCAAAGTGGAGAGGTTCTGACCAAGTCTTACCTGGTCTCCAGGTGAAGAGATCATGAAGAGCCAGTGCTGGTGGCACTTCCCACGCAGGATGGATTAATGCTGTGATGGCACGCAATGGGCAGTCGGGAGGCTGGGTCCCCCCCCCCACTCCAGGTGAGCGGCTGGAGACCCTCCATCCCAGCTTTTGTGCCCCCCAACCGTCCAGCACAGACGGACTTCCCCAGGTCTGCCTCTACCCACCTCGGAAGGAGGCGTGTTTACAACGATGTACCTATGCTGCCACCTAGCCTTCGTCCTCGTCACTGCAGCTGCGAGCTGTGCGCGGACCTCAATCTTGTTAACTACCCTGGTCTGGGGAGGGACCTGGAGCCCCCTTTAGGACCTTTCCTAAAGGTCACACTGTACCTTAGTTTGGGACCAGGACCTGGCGGCAGCCGCAGCAGCATGCCTGAGGTGTGCTGGACAATGGGGAAGGACTGATGTCAATCTCATAAGGGATTCTCAGTGGAATAATTACTCACTGTGGTTTGGGCAAGTCTGTCCGTGAGTGGCCAGAGCAACGCAGAGGAGCAAATGAAGACAAGACCCTTAGATGATGTTTTTCCTTTCCGACCAGAGGAATCCATGACACTTTATGTCCTTTAAAAGTCTACTTTTCCCAAATCGTGTTTCCACCCTTGTCGGGAAAACCACTTAGAGAAAAAGCTGAGGAGACTCTGCTTTTTAAAACAGAAACGCTGTGCACCCTTTGAAAAGTTGTCTATAGGAAAGCAACAATCATTCATCACTTGCATCTCCTGAAACCTGGTTTGTGGATGCAGTTAGTCTTTAAGGAAATGGAAAGGATGGACTCTGGGGTGGGACACAGCGGATGATATTTAACTTCTTTCTTGCCCAAGAAAGATACGACTGAAAAGCTTCGAACTCCAATTCACTCGCTCCAATGAATAAATATGCTCCTCCAATTGAAATTCAGTGAGGGCAGCTACTTTTTTCCAGAAGTAACCTGCTAAAGGTGACCCCAATGATCAAGTCTTCAGAATGGAGGAGAGGGGAAATGGGTCAGGACAGGCTCCTAGACATCTCCCATCTCCCAAACCTACCCCCACCACCACCACCACCACGTATTCAGCATGGACACGCAAGCAAAACCCACGCCAGGTCCCCATCTTCGGATGAGCTCATGGTCAAGAACCCCAAAGTACTGAGAAGTCCTCTTGAACCCTGCTGGGGCCCCTTGGCTGGCTGCTCCTACCTGCTAGTCAACTCTCAGCCCCTCACATCAAGTCGTTTCTACCTGGAGATAAAGAATAGGTGGTTAAACTCACATCCTGGGGTGCACCTTCCCCCAGCCCCTTTCCACCCTGCTCAGGAACCAGCTCCCACCCCTGGGCCCTCCTTCTCTCCACCAACTTTCCTCTTTTCCATGAATCATCCCTCTTCCTTTTACCTGTCCTCACACATTTTATTTTCGAGTCACTGGAAGGCAGCTAGACAAAGCCACGTCATCAAAGATGTGTCTCAGGATGGAGGGGCCAGGTCTAGGTAACTTGTGTTTCTCTGTGAAGAACACAATTTCCCCATTCATCTCAAATACTACCGGGGTGCCTGACGCGCAATGAGGGTGCAGAGAGTGAAGAAATAGAAGCAGGAGCCAGACACAGAACACATAGCATACAGAAGAAAAGCTAACAGATCTCACTGCTCTTTTTGGTTTTTTGTTTTTTGGTTTTTTTTTTTTAATCACTCTGCTCAGCTCCTCCTATGCTCCAGACACCTAAAATCCTTCTGGGCAGTGGAAACAAAAAAAAAAAAAAGCACAACTTTAGTCTGGCTCGAAAATGTGCCTTCTGGCAAATAGATAAGTGAGAACAAAGCTCGGGATCTGGGAGTGTTCACCACAGAGCAAGACGCTCCAGAGCAGCCAGAGAGATTTTCTTCCAAGCACTTCTACAGCAAGAATCTTATCATAGATAAGGGTGCAGTCTAGCGGCAAACTTTCTGAAATGCAGCCCCTTCTCCATCCAGAGCAGAGCCAGGGCACTTAGCAAGGCTAGGGGAATGTGGAAGGGTGAGGATCCTCCCCCGGCTCCCCAAGGGGCAGGGTGGCTAGGCTTTTCTCTGACCTGGCTAAGAAAGCCACAGCCCAGCCATGCCCACTTCAGAAAAAAGGAAAATCATCACCTTCCTTCTTTTAAGACATTAGCTTTCTTTCCGTTTACTAAGGAAATAAAGGATCTGTGAGAATGGAATTGATTGTCTGAGGTTTCAAATGGGATCACAATGTTCCTCCTTGGGGTCTCTTCAGAGCAAGCACCTGGTCCCCTCATCCCGCTGTTCCCAGGATTCCAGAGTGCCAGTTATCTTTATAACAAAGACGTGGCCCTTTCAATAGCTTTTGGGAGGGAAACTCTTCAATCTGCCTTCCTTCCACAGCAAGACAGTCCAGGTCTCCGGGCCAGATTTTTGACTTAGAATTTCTCCCAAAGAGCTGTAATTCTGCTCCCTATAAAGCTGTTGTGTGAATGACCCTTCCTGCAAGTCCCACACACACAGCTTCTCTGGGCCAACAAAGTGACTGAAAGTGCTCACTGCTTGAACATTTGACCAAAGACACTCACTTCACCAGTAATAGAGAGAGGATAAAACCCCCTTCATCAGGTTTTTGTGTTTTATTTGGGGGGGGGGGCATGAAGGTTCAGTTTTTCTATTCTTATTTCTTTATAATTCAGCCACCACCCATCACCCCTGGCCATTCTCTATGCAACACACACACACACATACACATCTTACAGAGTAACTTAGACACCAGAAAACAATCATTTCCCAAACTTGGGAAGAATTTCTGGGGCACTGTATATATCCAGTTGGCTAATAAGAAAATTGCTTCTCCCTCCAGCTTGGGTCTTGACTAGTTAAGTGGTGGTAGGGTGGGGGAGACCAAGTTATTTCTCATTGTGTGCAGGTACTCCAGAACACTCTCTGCCACTCACCCCCTCACCCCCCACCCGCCTCCAGCCCCTGGCAGCCCCAGCCCGGTACCCCAAGCCCCTTTTTTACATTCTGGGGTGCAGGAGGACACTGTTCAGAGAGCAAGGGGAGCCCCCGCGTGTCTCGAAGGCATCTCCCCACCCCCAGCCCGTGTGAGTTTGTACTGCAAGCTCCCTGGCATCCTTGGGTTGGGTTGGGTGTTGGAGAGCTCAAATTGCAGTTACAAACTGGCGTGCAGCCAGGGGCCGTCTATTTAAAAGCGCCTGCTCCACCAGAGCCTGTAGTCTCTTTGGAAACTTCTGCCGGGGAAAAGAGCTAGAGAGGAGCTGCAAAGCGGTGTGGGGTTTTTCCTTTTTTTTTTTTTTTTTCTTTTCTTTCTCTTTTTAATTACCCCCTCCTCCCATTTGCACCCTTCTCCCGACTTCTCGCAAAACCTGCGAATTTCGAAGAGGTGGTGGCAGAGTGGGAGAAAAGAGGTGTCAGGGTTTTTGATTGGGGTGTTTTATTCTTTTTCTTGATTTTAACATTTCCCCCACCCTCTCGGCTGCAGCCGCTGCCTCTTACCTGTTCCGCGGCAGCCGGGTGCCGCTGGCAACTGAGGATTAGAAAGATGCAGGTTTTACCATAGATTTTAAACTATTTTTTTTAAGCAGCCCATTTTTCTCCCCCTACCCCCTTCTTCACAGCCTCCGACCTCATTCCGGTGGTCGCTTTGGGGGGAGTAATTTGGGGTTTTTCCCCTCCTGCAAGTCTGACCCGGTCGAGCTCGGGGATTGGTTTCTCCAGCCCCCACTCCCTCTGCCTGTACTAGACGCTTTTCCCCCAACCTGTTGCAAGTCTTTGATCCTTGCAATTGGGACTTGCTGCAGGCACCCCAACTCCCCCCTCCCACATTTTGCAATTGTCTAGAGGAAGGGTACCTGCTCTACCTGCTAGAAACTTAAAAAAAAAATTCTCGGGGCGCGCTCCTGGCCCCTTTCTCCCAGCACTCTCGCTCTCCTGCCCCGCCCCAAGGTAAAGGGGGAGTCTCGGAGAAGATGGTGCTCACCGCGATCCTCCTGCTCCTGGCCGCCAGTGCAGGGCGGGCCCAGGGTCTGGGCTCCTTCGTGCATTGCGAGCCCTGCGACGAGAAAGCCCTCTCCATGTGCCCCCCCAGCCCCCTGGGCTGCGAGCTGGTCAAGGAGCCCGGCTGCGGTTGCTGCATGACTTGCGCCCTGGCGGAAGGGCAGTCGTGCGGCGTCTACACCGAGCGCTGCGCCCAGGGGCTGCGCTGCCTCCCGCGGCAGGACGAGGAGAAGCCGCTGCACGCCCTGCTGCACGGCCGCGGGGTTTGCCTCAACGAAAAGAGCTACCGCGAGCAAGCCAAGATCGGTGAGCGTGCTCAGTGTGCCAGCCAGTTACACGGCGCACGGGCAGGGGACCCGGGATGGGCTCGACCCGAGCGCTTTGCCGGCTTGGTGCTGGGGTGTAGCCCGGGAGCAGGGAGGGGAGGATCCTTGCCTCCGGGGATTGGAACCCTAGCAGATCCGGCCACCCTGGCGCGCAGTCTAGCCCACAGGAGCTGGGGTTTCGAGCCTGCTCCTCACCCCTCCCCCATCTTGCTGCACCCCACCTTTTCTCCCCTCCCCCCCCCGTACCTATTCTGTCTCAAGGTCTAAATCTCCAAGTCCTCAACCTCCAGTCTGAAAGGTGCATGATACATTATCAACTCCCTCCTCCACCACCCCCCACCCGCCAATATCTTTTTTATGAACTTGAAAAAACAATCTCTTTTCTTTTGTTAAAAAATTTTTGCTTTATCTGGGACCTGTGAAAGAAGGCGTTTACCCGCCTTTAGTCGTCATTCCACCTTTGCCTCTCCCAGGCCCCCCCCGCCCCCCACCAGTCCCTGCTGATATTTCTTTTTCTACCCAACACTAACGCGCGCGCATACTCGCGTGCACACATGCGTGCACGCGCGTACACACACACACACACACGCACACACCCCTCGCTGGCTAATGCTTTGGGGTGGGCGCTTTGATGCCCCTCCCACGCGCACACCCTTTGCTTTTGACTTAATGTGATTGGCTGTGGTGGACGGTAAGACATTAAAATGCAAAATACCTTTTACCTTCCTATAAGGGAAAGATTACTTTAGGCGCGCTTCGGGGCGCTGCGAGGAGAAAGGCTGGGGTGGAGGGGGGAGCTGGCGAAAGGGCGGGTCGGGGGTGGGGGGCCGAGAAGGGGAGGGAAGCGAGGGTTTGGTGTTCCTGTGCTTTGGACGTTCCTCCCAGCATCTAATTCCTTTTTCCCTTCCCTAGATTTTACCTAGGAAGAAAGGTGGCTGTAGGGTTAGGAGGCAAAAGGATGTGAAATTCAGAAATCCCAACTTCCCCGCTACCGCTAAGCCTCACCCGTCCTACAAATCTCTCGAAACAGATCACTAGTGGGTGTGGGGTAGATGTAGAAGGGACCCTAGAAACAAAAAGTAAAGGGGCGGAGACGAAAAAGCCTCGCACCCGAAGCCCCCCCTTCTCCTCCAAGAAGCTCCGCCCCCAGGTTGCCCCGCCGGCCCTCCC